CGCATTTCAATTATGATGAGGGTCAGTTTTGGTTTTGTTTTGTTATGCTACATTTCGAAAACTTGTTTCGCATAGAGCGCATTAACTTTACTACCGACTTCCATGGCTGCTGCTGCTGCTGCCCCTGCTGTTGGAGCCATAAATTACTTTGACCGGACAAATGAGAGCGGGGCATGCAACAAGCTTTCGAGGTGCTCTCCGCCTCTCTCCCCCTCTTATTTGGTGGCTTGCAGCACGCGAGCATTAAAGTTAAATTGAAAATAAATATGGCCACGCAGCCACCACGCCACACCACACCGAGCGATGGAAATGTCAATAAAAAAACTACCCAAGGAGGGCACATGTGTGTGGGCGGGTGTATCTGTGTGTCTCTGTGTTTGCTTGTGTGCGCTGCGCAGCTGCCAGAAGTCAGGCGGCATTAACCGGCGCCGACCTCCCACACGGCGAAATCTTTAAGGAAGTTCCTTCCCGAAGGGAGCTTCCGAAAGTCGAAAGTATGCGATGGAACATCAAATATAAAGTGCACACTTTATTCGCCCCCGAAACCTGTTGTCCCGTTAACTGTGACAACCCTGGCATTCAGGCGGAACAACAACGGCAACAACAATTATGGCCTCTTGTCGACATTTAGACTTAATTTAAATGCAAGACTGAAACAAAAGGGGAAGCCCAGAGAATGGCAACGAAAAGAGCAACGAAACGAAATGGAAGGCACGGGTACGGGTACGGTAAAAAAAGGTAACACAAAAGCCGCTCCGCTCGACGTAACGTAGCGTAACGTAATGGTTGACAACAACACGAAAAACAACACACAAAAATGTATATGACTTATGTGGATTTTATTTGTTGTTATTTTTTGCAAAAAGTTGTTCATTTCTGCGTTTAAGTTCGGGACAAGGGCACATGCTCCCCGTATCGCTACCAATACTGGTACACTCCCTGTAGTACTGGCGGTGGCGATTGACCCTGCCGAACTACCTACTACGCTGGTCCGTACATGGGTACCCACCGAAGTAACCCTATGGTAAGCGAACGCGGAACCACTCAAAGAGTAGAAAATAATCTTACTCTTATACTTTACAACCCACCGCGTACCACCCAGCGAACTAGTTCGATGGGGCGCAACGTCTCACCAGTAGATGAAGAAACGAAAAAAAACGAAACAAAAGAAGTAAGAAAGTAGCCAAAAATGAAGCTGCGCTGCTTCTGCGAAGCAGAGCGCTGTTTCGTTTTCGGTTTTAACATTGCATTGCTGGAATGTTCTATTTCTTTGGCTGAATTTGTTGAGACGCGCTTGTGAGTTCCAGTGAAAAAAGTGAACATTTATCAAATCAATTATTTAAAAAAAGGTAAGACAAACAACTTTAATTAAATATGTACAGCAGGCGGCATTTACGTAGACTTAGGAAGGAAACTAGCGATAAATATGCTAACAAACTAAAACTAGTGAGGGCAGAGACAGTGTCGTCCAGTGAAACAGAAAAAGTTGAGGTACTATCTGTCCAGGGCTGGTACAGATGACAAAGATATAAACAGCTCAAACAGAGATTTATACGTAAGTATGATGTAAATCAAAATTTTATTGTTTATTCTAATTGTATTTTCACAGATTGATGCAATAAAAACGATTCTCCTGCCAAGCGGTATTTTAAAAAATTTTAAAAATAGTCTTGCTAATGCCGTTGTGTTAGCCTATAACGTGGATGGTGTGAAGGCAAGCGGCGCTGAAAGATAAGAATTTTTATGGAGAAGCTCCATAAAAATCTTAGACTCAGCGCGCTTACAGCAAAGGCTTGGTATGCATATCTGTTTGTCTTTCTAATTTCCTGCCCATTAATACTTATTTGATTTTTATATTTATGGATGCTATAACTGTAGAGGCAGGGACTGGATCAGCGGAAATACAACTAAGAAAAGCTCTTAGCTGCAAAAAAACGACATTTTAAAAATATAAGCAACAATAACAACAACAAAATAATAGATAATAATAACTCATAAGGAAATTAGACAAATAAAATAAGTGAAATTGTCAACTGCACGAGCTTTTCTAATTATGTTCCTTGTTTCCTTTTACTACCCCTTATATGGGTACCCATTTCACTACCCCTTATATGGGTACCCATTTCACTACCTACCAGATGGGTACCCATTTCACTACCCATTGTATGGGTACCCAAATCGTCAACCACCAGAAGAGTACCCATTTCACTAGTTCGGGGGTAAACGATGTGGTGTCGCTGGTCCCCATGCCCTAGGACATTGTGGGTAAAAATGGAAATGAAGAATAGCATTGCTTAGGGTGTGTCCAGTGGGTAGTGGTGGTCTGTTAGGGACGGGTCATATCACCACCACCGAACTAGTGCCCAGTACTACAGGGCTGGTACCGCGGGGGCTCTGGCTCTACATCCAATCGAGTTTCAGTTAGCCCGGGATAAGAGCACACACACACACAGGAAACACGTACACAGATACACACACGCAAAACACACACCATCGCATGTACACCACATACCGCCTAACCCAATTCGCTTTCGAAAAAAAGAAACTCAAACTGGAAGCTAAATCGCAAGTGTCTTAGGCAGTTGTTGTTCTTGTTCAAGCCAGACATGGTGCGGAGGGGAGCGGAATGTTACGAGTGAGAAAAGGTTGGGATAGGGTGCCAGAGGGTTAGAGGTCGCAGGATTTTGGTGGTGGTGGTTTCGATGCGTGCGCTTGGCAGCAGCGGAGAAGCAACATTTGCTGTAGAATGATTTTCAAAAATGTTCCCAAGAGAGGGCTGCTCCAGGAGATTAACTTTCGATTGGAACTTAGTGGCATTACTCCTCTTACGACCCTCGTTGAACCCCAAGCTAGGCAATACACAACTAAACTGAAGTACGCGCTGTGTCTGCTGCAGATGTTTCTGCTTGCTTTCGCCCGCAGAGTTTGCTTCGACACGAAATCAAAATGCTCCCCTCCTCTGTGGCCATGATTAACTTTCCTCTGAGCAACGTCAAAAAGTGTGTCAAGTTTAAAGCGTCAGAGACAAGACGATAATGGTAATGATAATGACGCGATAACATTAAAGGGGGAATCACCGAAAAGGCAACAACACAACTGACAAGCCTCATTGCCCGATAGATAGTTTCCATTGCCAGGGAATTTTCTCTCTGATTTGGCAGGCGAATTCGTGCGTGCGTTAAATTGATTCGCACCCAAACCAGTCCCAAGTCCCAGTACCAGCGGTTGTCCAGCTTTATGACACGAAACGATTCGAACTTAAAGCCCCATCCTGATAAAGTATGACAAGGATACAGTGAGGCGCCCGACAAAGAGGGAGTTTGTATTTTACAGCAGATCAGCCCTTTCTCACAGTTCCGTTTGCCGTTTCTCACGGCTAACCCAAGCCCAAGCCTTTTGTCCCTGGCCTCAAGTACGACCAGAAGTGGGGAAAGGATCCATTGTATTCGTCTGTGTTTATGTGCGATGTGCATGTGTGTAGTAGTGTGTGACTCTCTCAATGAATATGAATCTCCCTTTCGCCTATCCTTCGTCTCCTGTTTATAATCAACTAAAAGCCAAATAATCAAAAAGTCAACACAATGCCCAAAAAAACACCCAAAGAAGGAGCCAAAAGGAAAAGGGGGTAAAAAACATTGTTTGCGTTTGGAGGAAACTAAGAAATGGGCTTTCTCAGAATATGTCCCTGATTGGTTGTGTTTCTGGGACTATGTTCTTTAACGAGACACAGAGGGGGACTAGTTCTACTCCCAGACTTCAGCCAACTAAAAATTCAATCATGAATTACCCTCAATCAAATTAAATTAATTTTAGACTTTATCCTGAAAATAATCAAACTTCAGCAAATTTTCAACCTCAATAAGTAAAAGTCTTAAATTCTACAGCGATTCCCGACAATCATTAATAAGAAGTACCTCATAAAGAGTCTACCAATACTGATATATCCTCTCTCCAGACCACATCTCTCTGTATATATATTAATTTATATATACATACATATATTGAAAAAAGCAACGATTATCTTTGGACAGACAAGTCCGTAAAGCTTGTCGCCTGTCACTTGCCATTTGGCAGGCGTTGGCCATAAAAATCAATGAGCACTTTTTGCACGAAAAAAAAAAACGGAAAATAGTTGGCAGCTGACAACGGAACAAGCGGGGGCACGACACACAGAAAAAACGGTGCCAAGATGTGAGGGGATTTTTTTAAAGCTTTCTTGCGACCTTCCAACCCCACAACAGGATTTTAAGGCCTTACAGACGGTACAGACGGTACAGACGGTACAGACGAGTATGTGTTTTGTAGTAAACTTATAAAAATATCCCAATACAATAAGGCAGGAGCAGGAGTAGCAAGAGCAGCAGGGGCCTGGGTTTGGTGTATTGGTTTGGTGGGAGGACTGGCTTTCCACACAACAAGCTGCCTACTTTTTGACATTTTCAACATGTGTCCAACGCCTCCTCTTCTTTCTCACTCTCTCTTTCTTTCGTTCTATGTGTGGGGGTGGTTTATACGCTTCTTAAACAGGGTATTCTGATTTTTAACTATGGTTTCTTTCTATTCTCAGGTGCAAGTCCCATAAGCTATATTTATTCTAAAGAAATATTATATCCAATCCGATGACTATATTTAATATTTACCATACAAATCATGGTTTTCAAAGGGTATTCCCAAGTTCGGCCTACTACGATAGTTTTTCTTGCTTTTTTTTGTAGCTTTTCAGCGTTGACGTTTGCGTTGATTTTTGACAGCTGCCTTCACACACAGATACACACGCACACAAACATGAAAACAATAACAAAAACTTGTTACCAAAGTTGAGGCAGATTGCTTCTGCCTCATTCCTTCCTGCTACCCAGCCCCAAGCCCCACTCCTGCCCTATCCTGCTCGTGCTCATGCTCGTCCTACTGCTACTGCTACTGCTCTCTCAGTTATTGTTAGACTTTTTGTGCGTTAGATGTGCATACTTTTTGCTCATATCTCTAAGGTTTATGTCAAGGTTTCTTTTTTATTACTTTCACATACACCATCCTTACGTGTAGATGTATGCGGATGTGGATGGGTGTGTGTGCTTTTTAGGGCTCTTTTTGCGACATTTTTTCGTCGTTCCGCTCCCTCTTTCACTCTTCGTCTGTGCCACAAATTGCAGTTTAAAGTTGACAACGAAAGGATATGAGCACTTACCTGTAAGTAAAAGAAAGGTAAAACGAAAGCTGATTAAATATACGAGTAAGGTACGTTGCAAGAAAAAAAAACTCTGGACTCTGGATGTGTGTGAGTGAGTCGATGTGTGTGTTGGGGGTAATACAGTTAACATTTATAGAGCCATAGAGCGTAGTGTGAATGGATATGGCCATGGGATGGGCTATGGGACAGACAGACAGCCAGCCAGATGGTTCACTTCCTAAATGGTAAATGCCATCCCGATTATCGAGAAATGCTCCGAACTGCAGACTGGAGAGAGTAATCTCTGGAGTAATTGTGTGGGAAACGACTTCGAATCACCCTGAACATTTATTATTCCAAATATTCAAAGAGAATTTTCAGCACGAGAATGAGAGTCGAGTCGATTGGATTAGATTAGATGGAATATCTGAAATTCAATTTTTCTTTTTAATAAAATCAAAACAGCAGCCGAAAATTCTTCATCCTTGTGGAAATACAGACCGTTTCGTAAGTGGCATACTTTTGAAAATCTTTGGCTACATGCGTTTCAATTGCTTTACAGCTACGAAATGCAATGCACTTAAGAGTTATCATCAATGGTTCTAAGTCATTGCCATGAGCCCAATTGAAAGCCTCCTGCCACACACTTTCGACTATCGCATTACAATGCATATCGAATTCCATTTGTCAACTATTTTGGCTCCAGCTCTGCTCTGGCTCTCCTTTCACACTCTCGTATCTGGGACTTAACTTGCAATTCCAATCAATTAAATGAAAGAAATTCAAAGCTTTTCGCCAGCATATAATCGAAAAAATTGATATTGTACGTATACGAATTGTGTTATTTTTGTGGACCAATCAGAGCGCAATATGCAAATAAAATGCAAGGGAAATACTTTTGGACAACATTTTGAATGCATTTCGCAATTGGTTTCTGTTTGCGCAACAAAATAGAAACTACAAAAGCCACAAAACATAGATTAAGATGTGTGTGGGATGATGTTCCTATAGATACTAGATGGAGATGGACATGGACATGGAGGCCCACCAGTAGAAAATCGAGCATGGAAAAACATTGAACGCTTGACTTAAATGCCCAACGTGATGCGGCAAAATGGGGGAAAAATTCAACGCTTTCCAAACGGCAATACAACAAGTCAAATATTGATACTAGGCGGGGGCCCAATCTGCGGCCATGGTGTCAGGGGGTGTGGAATCGTGTGCCTGAAAAGGGATTCATTCCCCTCCAAGCCACACAAACCAAAGGACGAACAACGAACAACGAACGACGAAAAACCAAAACCAAAAACTCAAAAAAAGTGCACGCGCAGAACTAAACAAACAATTTGGCCAGAAAACTTGGCAAAAGCAATTGCAATTGCAAAGACGGTACTACCATAGGGGGTAGTATAGGGTGGGAGGAAGGAGGGTGCGTGTTGGGTTGAGTGGTGCATGGAGCACAGGCCACAACAAAGTTGTTGACAATGGCAAACACGTTAACCAAAAACTTTGGCACAAAGATAAACGCAAATAAATTTGCCAACTTGTTCTCTCGTTCTCTCGCTCTCCTCTCACACTCCTCTCTTACGCAGGAGTTTGTCTTGCTGTGGGTCCTGTCTCTGTGTATCCCTTTTACAGAGGGATATTCAAAAGGGAAATGCATTACAAAGTACCAAGGGCTAGGGGATAGGGGAGATTAGAACACCCGCATGATCGGTGTGTTTTTGTGGCAAGTTACCGAGGAATTCTAAGCCCGCATTCAAATCACATAAATATTGTAAATGCCTCGGACTTTGACCAGATGTCTCAGCCATAAGCGATTTTCACGGTTTCAGAATCACAGAATTCACAGAACACAAGGAAAGAGGCAGCGGGGACAAGTCGGAGAGCCGGATAAAGAAACCACAAATTGACATGCATTGAACAGGACTCTTCCACTCCGCAATTCCTTCCCAAAAACAAGCAGGCAACCAACCAACAAACCATCCAACCGAAAAAAAAGAACATCTCCTGTGTATCTCTGGCATCCTTCGCTCCTTCGCTCTTTTGTAGCTGTATCTGTGTACATGGCAATGTATCTTGGGAGCTGTGCAGAGATTTGCGACGCATGACACTCATAAGTAAAATGCCGTTGGCCCAGCTTCGACTACGTGAAGCCACGACTGGACGAAGACCAATGAGAAATCAAACCGAGTGTATCCCTGAGCTTAAGTCAGTCCAGCAGTGGCACACGAGGACACGGACGAGAACAGCACAGCACAGAACAGAACAGAGTAAACTTGAGCAGAATGCACAGAGAGAAAGGAATGGGCTGCTTAAGAATGAAATCTACCATCAATAAGTTTATTCTTTCCTTATATTTCTCTCAGTGTTCTCTGAACATAAATCGTTTTGCGGCTGACCATCTTCACCACTAGCCGCTCCATATATCCCGGCCATTTCTCTCTATCGCTCAGGCTCCAAGGTCCAAAGACGGAAGCCGCACAGCCATTTCTCCAACATCTAACAAGTTGTCGATGGATTTTTGGCTGAGCAGTCGTGAGACATGGCCACAAAGCGACAACACCACCAACAACAGCAACAAAGTGCGGCAGCATAACATAAAATAAGTCCAGGGAGGGTTGTCCGAGAAGTTTCACAATGAATCGGAAGAGAGTTAATGGGATTACTAGATGAAGATATCTAGCTGTGAGTGAATACTCCTAAATCTACCCTCGACTATGGTCCCCATCTGTGGTAGCATCTTCAGTAGCATATTGGCTACACTTGTTATTGACAGCTTTGTTGCTGCAGAGACTTCTTCTCCGCGCTCCCCTTTTCTTCAGATATAGGTATGTATGTAGTCCAAGGAACGGCCAAAAGCTGTCGAAACAGTCCGGCTAACTAGTTGGCCATCTACACGTACAAAGGGACCACAACAAACAGGCAGGAAGGCAGGAGCAGAAGGAGGAGAGGAGCACGAGTGACAGGGCAATCGCTAAATCATTCCAGGGAAGCAGAGGAGCACAGGCACAGAGAAATCTCTCAGGATACGGTAAAGGATATTACAGCAAAGAGTTCAGTTTCAGTTCAAATGCCAATAAAGCAAAGCTTTCTTTTTTTTTTTTTGGTAATTTTTATTGCCTGTGAAAACTGTCAGAATATATGCGGCCTATCGCAAGTCCAACACTCGACCAAACCACACCGCTCTTCTCCTCCCCCTCCATCACATTCGAACGGGCGGGACACATATGCGTATACGTAATGTGGCGCGAAGAGGAAATGAAAAATGTAATTAAAAAACTTTTTTTTTCGGCCAAGTCTTTTGTCATGAGCGTGGGAGGCGTGGTAGGGGCCACTGAATGGGGGCGTGGCGGGTGTCAAGTGAGCAAAAGCCTAAGTTGCAAGCCAGCAATTTGAGAGGGACAAGAGGCAGGGAGCGGCGGCCTTTAAATACGACGAGTGTCATTCAGTTGGCTGGGCAGGCAGGCTGCAAGCTTTTTAGCCAGCCATTCGCATATACTCGTAAGCATGCAACACATGCGAGTGGCATGGCTGGGAGTACCCATTGGGGGACAGTGGCAGAGCGATTCATGTGCATGTAAAAAGTGCTCATTAAAACATATCAACAAGCTTTATGGCAGTCTCCTCTCCTCTCCGCCTCCTGCTCATCAGCCCCGTTTCATCCTTCCATGTTGACGTCGCGTCGTCGTCGTCGTCGTCATCGTCATCGGCACCGACGGCAGTTAAATTCATTCATAAACTACGTGACAAAACGAACGGAAATGTAGAAACGGAAATTGCCAACAAACACATGCACACAAACATTGACATATACACACACATGCAGTCAGACATTGAGACTGAGAGTGAGAAAGAGAAAGAGAGAGCGGGTTGGGCGGAAGGACGGATGGACGGCAGGCACAAAGTATTCTGGCATTCAACCGCCGCCATCGGCTTACCCTGGCATTTACAATCAATTTGGAAGCACACCGAGATGCAGAGAGTGGGAGAGAGAGAGAGAGAGAGAGAGAGAGAGAGAGATACCCTGTCATGTGGGACAAGGAAGTAGCATCGAACTTCCAGGACGACGAGCAAGGGAAATATCATTAAGTAGGAATTGGGAATCTCATTTTGTTGTTCTTTCTTACACTCATTCCGTATTCCCTGCTCTTCAAATATCTCATATATTTCATGTCTCATCCTTTACGGATTCGCCTTCTTTAAGCCCACTCTAGGGTACTCATCACGTCGACCTTCAAACATTTCCATTCATTTCTGCTTTTTTATTTGGTATCGCACGTCGAGTGTATGGTTCAGTGTGCCGAGCCGCCTCAGCCTTTTCCTCTTCCCTTCCCCCGACCACTCACAATTCCCCTCAACACACATTTCTCCCTCCCACCCTTTCGGAATGAGCAACACCATCAACCATCACCAATCATATTACATTTGCAATATTTTCCCTCTCCTTTGCTCAGAGATTCAGTCATCAGATTGTTTGACGGATGCGTGGGAGGAGAGGAGCAGAGCACCAGAAGAAGGAAAGGAGAAAGAGCGTTGAACGGTGGTGATAGTTGAAGGCAATGGAATCTCATAATATTGATAGTGAGAGAGGGAAGGGGGAGAGTCAGCAATAAAATTCAAGTGTATCTCTCTTTGCTTGGATTTCCGATTGAAATTGGATAGATATTCCAATGGAGCTGCAATCCTCCAAAACATTGCAGAAATATTCGGTAAATAGAAAAGCAATTCCGCAGAAAAGCATCCCTAGGCCAGGGATAAACCCTTTAGAAATAACTAATTTTTCCAGCCATTAAATTCACTTTCTCTTCGAGGCACTCAGATTCGTGGCATACTCTCCCTCTCCCTCTCCCTCTCTCTCTCTCTCTCCTGCTGCTGCTGTCTGTGGGCTTTAATGTCGTGAAAAGCTTTTAGTTGTAAGCTAACAAGCTAACGTTAAATGCAACTGCAACTTTAACTGTCGTTGCCCCCACAGGACCTGAAGGACACACCACTAAAAGGCGGAGAGGAGATAGAGGTAAAAGTTGAGGAAAGAGGGAGGGACTGAAACAGATAGACACACTTAAAATAGCAAACAACTCAAGAGAAGCTGCTTCTGTAATTGACCCAATTCAACCTTGACCCATTTCCCACGTTCACTTCCATGTCCACGGCTTGAGCGCCACTGTACGATACGTCCCGCTGAAAGCTCGAACTATAATTAAATGTTAATTAGCAGACACAACAGCGGATGACAGCGGGGCAGAACTGGAGACTGGGGACAACTGTTAATGGATTGAATGCTGTTAAAGAACCGTCTGCTACGATTCGTTTCGTTTCGTTTTATTTTGATCCAGTAAATCCCTGAAAGCAATGAGAAGGCAGGCAGGAGGCAGACCCATTCGTTTCATCGTAGATAACAATCAATTCCAATCTGTCAGTATCGTTTCACCTGCTCAATATGTATTCATTCCACACGCAACGCAACGAAACCCACACAGAAGAGGACACTGCCAGAACCTCCCTTCAGTACCCAACCACCCAATCCAATCCTTGGACAATCGTGAGGTTCGTTCTGGGTTCTGGTTCTCCTCGTCCTGGACGATAAATGTCAAAGTCAATGCGGTACACTCGTATTCTCTCCCATTTCCCAAGCATTCATTCAGTCAAGGTCTTGTCGCTTTGTAAAAATATACAA